ATGGCCACGCCGCAATCCCTTCTTCTCCACTCTCCTCTCAGGATCTTGGGCACGCACGCACACGCACTGGCGTGAGTTTAAGCCACCAGGTTTGGGACTTGAACCACAGTCAACTACATGGGAGTCCAGCGACATAGCCATTATGCTAATTACTGGCCCCTCAACTTAAAATGCTTTTAATTTTTGTCAATTTTTGTCCAGTCTTGGTTTGAAAACTCACTGATTTTTATCGCTGTGAGACCGCTATAGCGATGCTTTAACTCACTGATTTTTATCGCTGTAAGACCGCTATAGCGATGCTTTTGGCCTTCACGCACTCCGCACGAGCACCTTCCAGTTGGTGCTGTCCCCGAGGCGCCGGCGTCACAGGCCCCAGTGCGGTTAGTCCGCTGCGATTTACTTGAGCACCCTTACCCGGAGGCATCTGAAACCACTTCCGATTTTTTCAAGTTATAGGTGGTGCCATGAACGCATACAAATGTCGACTTCTTCTTCCAGTGAACTATTTCTTGGAAACCACCGGTGGGTGGGCGGGTGGGCGTCGTGACTGGCCAGTCCTCAGCGGTGTGTTTCTCGAAGGCGTGACCCCGAGGCGCGATGCAGCCTGCAGGGACGTGCCAGTGTCCTGCCCGCAGCTATGGCCCACTTCAAATCAAGGCCCCAGTGGGTGCTCCGAGGCCTCACTGACTCAGACGCCAGACGCCCACGCGGTCTCTTTTTTTTATGAGGTGTTTTTATTTTTTTATCGTAACTCAAATACGTCCCTTTCAAACCACATGGGAGAGTACAAGGAGCAGGCACCGTGAAGAGCGGCCGCTGACGCCCAGGTACGCAAGGCCGGCGTCGTGTTTCCAGATTGTCCCTGAACATAGTACTGGCCGTCACGGGCTCGCGAGCTGCTCTCTGCCCTGCCTCCCGCCTGCGTGACAGTGACTGCTGCTCCGCACTGTCCACTCACGTCCCCACGGACGCTTTCATTCTTTTAAGAATAAACTTGTACCAAGTTACTATACCCACAGATAAGCACCGCACTATTCTTCGTGTTCACGAACTTGCTATTTGTGGTATCTGCTGGTGCCGAGGCAGAAACACCTTCTGCCAGGGAGCGGGAGAAATCGGGGCAGGCTCCTCGGAACCTGCCACCGTTGAACTCCCCCCAGGGTGCGATGATGTCAGACCTCGGCGTTTCTGAGCTTCCAGGTCGGTCAGCTGGTGGGACGCCCGAACCAGGACAGGCGGGAACTGAGCACCGTCTCCGAAGCCAGAAACTGGGCCTGTGCAGCTATTTGAGAGCTTTTCGCGACCCTAATAATCCTGGGAGCTGACAATACCTTCCGCATGCCAAGAGCAAAGGAGGGGCAACCAGAGCACGAGGGCTGTGAGTCGTCTCCCAGGAAACGAGCCGGAGGTCACAGGGCCTCCCCCGCAAGCCCACGCCCAGACTGCCCGCCGGCCAGCTCGGAACCTACCGTGCCGCTGGTGAGCCTGTTCGTGTAGACGGTGATGACGCCGCACCTGCTCCCGGTGAACAGCTGGCAGCTGTCCGGCACCCAAGCACAGCTGGTCACCTACGTGAAGCACAGGTCATCCCATCTCAGAAGCACAGAAATGCTTTGACTTTTCTGAAACTACTAAAAACATGTGATCTCGAGTTTTCAAGTGAACCTTCTACAGTCATGCCAGGCACAGTAATGCTCGGGAATTTGACACCAAATCCCTAAAGCCCGTTTCCAGATGAAAATGTATCACGATGCACAGTCAGACGGTAGGTTTGTAAATACAGATATCTACTATTTCTCAGAAATTTAACCAGGATAGGGGCTGGCAGGTGGCATGGTGGTTAAGGGCACTGGACTCCCACGTGGCCAACCATGGTTTGAGTCCTGGACCTGGCAGCTTGCTTTCTCACTTTCCCTCTCTCCCTCCCTCCCTCTTTCACTCTGTTCCTCTCTGGTCAAATTAAAATAAATTAGTAAATAATAAAGTTAAATAAAATATGTTTTTATAAAAAAAGAGAACAAATTTAACCAGGATTGACTGGATCCTTGCTGAGAGCGAGGCTCTCCATTTTGACTTCTGAGTCTTCTCCTCGTCTCGCGCCTTGGTGGGGAAACCAGGCACATGGGCGTGGAGTTACTGCCCCAACAGCTCTGCGGACCGCCCGCAGGAGGAGCGGGACAGCGTGGGAGGCTCCCAGCTAACGCCTCCTCCACACCACAGTGGGGCCCCCCCACACCGTGCTACCTCGGGTGCGGGGGGCCACAGCCCCGAGCTCTGCTCCCCACAGGAGTGTCCGGGTTCCGAGGCCTGCCTGACTTCCCAGGCTCCTCGGGACCTTGTCCTCGTCTCAGAGCTCGAGCTGTCTCCGGCTGGCTTCTTCACAGACTGGAATGTGCTCTTGTCTCTGGCTCAGAAAACGACTGTCTTTGATCAGGATTCTTTTTAACTCTTATTTCACCAGAGTCCACTGGATTCAATTTTATTGTTTACGTTTTTCTCGAGCAGTTCTATTTGTAAGAATTTATATTTCATAACTTTTATTCTTTCTGAGAGGTCTTCCAAAACACGAAGAGAAAGTGCACGTGACCTTTACATTTAAAATAAAATTCATCCTACTGTCGGCCGTTGCCACAGTGACCCACTGGACGGCTGTAGAGCGTAAGCCGTGAAAAGCTGTCCTAAGGTTTTTCACAGGTTTTGCATGGAGTGTGTGCACTTACTGGAGAGGCAGAGAGAGGGTGAGTGAGAATCGCCCCCAGGAGAGGGCCACCCCACAGTCCCTTTCCTTCCATTCTCCTCTCGGAATTTTGGACACACACACACCCAGCATGGTTTTCAGGCCTCTGGGTACGGGCCTCGAATCATGGTTGGCCAAGTGACAGCCCAGCATCCTCAGTGCCACATCACCTGCTGGCCCCACGCTACAAGGTTTTAATCATCTTATTTTTCCAGTATCTTGAAATACTTCATCTTTTGAGGAATTATTTCATCATTTCTCATCCATAATTCTCAACTATGCAAACAAACAAAGAGCCACGTAGAATAGCGAGTGAGGGGACCTCCGGGAAGGGTGGCCTTTCGGTTTCCTGCACTGTCCCAAGTACGGAGCCATCTTTTAAACTAGCGTAAAAGAGGCCGTAGACACCACTTCTGTAGCCTGCTTTCTGCCGTCACTGGACGCAGCCGGTCAACCAGAACCAGGCACATGGGCGTGGAGTTACTGCCCCAACAGCTCTGCGGACCGCCCGCAGGAGGAGCGGGACAGCGTGGGAGGCTCCCAGCTAACGCCTCCTCCACACCACAGTGGGGCCCCCCCACACCGTGCTACCTCGGGTGCGGGGGGCCACAGCCCCGAGCTCTGCTCCCCACAGGAGTGTCCGGGTTCCGAGTCCTGCCTGACTTCCCAGGCTCCTCGGGACCTTGTCCTCGTCTCAGAGCTCGAGCTGTCTCCGGCTGGCTTCTTCACAGACTGGAATGTGCTCTTGTCTCTGGCTCAGAAAACGACTGTCTTTGATCAGGATTCTTTTTAACTCTTATTTCACCAGAGTCCACTGGATTCAATTTTATTGTTTACGTTTTTCTCGAGCAGTTCTATTTGTAAGAATTTATATTTCATAACTTTTATTCTTTCTGAGAGGTCTTCCAAAACACGAAGAGAAAGTGCACGTGACCTTTACATTTAAAATAAAATTCATCCTACTGTCGGCCGTTGCCACAGTGACCCACTGGACGGCTGTAGAGCGTAAGCCGTGAAAAGCTGTCCTAAGGTTTTTCACAGGTTTTGCATGGAGTGTGTGCACTTACTGGAGAGGCAGAGAGAGGGTGAGTGAGAATCGCCCCCAGGAGAGGGCCACCCCACAGTCCCTTTCCTTCCATTCTCCTCTCGGAATTTTGGACACACACACACCCAGCATGGTTTTCAGGCCTCTGGGTACGGGCCTCGAATCATGGTTGGCCAAGTGACAGCCCAGCATCCTCAGTGCCACATCACCTGCTGGCCCCACGCTACAAGGTTTTAATCATCTTATTTTTCCAGTATCTTGAAATACTTCATCTTTTGAGGAATTATTTCATCATTTCTCATCCATAATTCTCAACTATGCAAACAAACAAAGAGCCACGTAGAATAGCGAGTGAGGGGACCTCCGGGAAGGGTGGCCTTTCGGTTTCCTGCACTGTCCCAAGTACGGAGCCATCTTTTAAACTAGCGTAAAAGAGGCCGTAGACACCACTTCTGTAGCCTGCTTTCTGCCGTCACTGGACGCAGCCGATCATCCAGCACTCACGTGACAAGGTGCTCACGTGACAAGGTGCTCACGGCGCGGGTGCCGGCTGCAGACAGAGGCGGGGCAGGACTCGGGCTCCACAGCTGAGGAAAGTGGCATGGGCACTGGGTCTCAGCGTGAGTCCTCATGGGTGACATCGCAGACACGCTTCCCCAGTTTAAAGAGCTAATAAATAGGGGACCAGCAGTTAGCGTAATGGCTATGTCGCTGGACTCCCACGTAGGCGACCGCGGTTCGAGTCCCGGACCCGGTGGCTTAAACTCACGCCGGGCGCGTGTGCGTGCGTGCCCAAGATCCCGCGAGGAGAATGGAGGAGAAGGGATTGCGGCGTGGCCATCCCCCCTGGGGGGGGATTTCCTGCTTTCTATCTCTCTGTCTGTCTGGCGAGCGCACGCGCCCTATAGCAAAAACCTCTCCAAAAAAAAAAAAAAAAAAAGAGCTAATAAATAGGACCAGGTTCACAGTGCAGAGGTCAAGGTGCCTGTATCTCACATGGCCGGCTGCGTGGTTTGAGCCCTGGATCCGACGGCTTGAAAAATCACACCAGGTGTGTGCACGTGTGCCTAACATCCTGAGAGGAGAGTGCAGGAGAAGGGGTGGTGGGTGAGCTTCTCCCTGGGGTGCTTTCTTCCTTCCCCCTCTCTGGCGAGTGTGCGTGCCCTGGAGTGAACTAAGGGAAAGAACAAGAATAAACACTGTACCCGGGGGAGCGTGGACCATGTCTCCTTTACTCAGGGTTTGGCTACAATATTTCATACTTTGCTACAAAAATCTGGCCCACGTTGTTGTGCTCAAACAGACATCTAAGCCTGTTCCTGACCTCTTGGTATTAATAGAAGTATCTTTGCAATGTTTACATTCCCATGCGCATTGCGCTCGCTCGCACACAGTAGAATATCGTCCGGCTTAAAAATGGTGGGCGGCCTGCCATTGTGACAACGTGGTTGGACCTTGAGGACACCTGAGTGAAAACCAGGAGGCACAGGAAGACAGATGCTGCCCGGTCCTCCCAGGTGTGGGGTCTGACCATCAAACGCACTGGCCCAGTGGGGAGTAGTGGGGGCGGTGGAGTGCAGGGAGGGCTGACAGGGCACGAGAGCTGTGCCATGCCAGGGAAGGGCTGGGGACCCAGTGGACACGGCACTACCGGTGCCTTCCGGAGGTCAGTTGCGAGGGCGGGTGGTGAGGTCTTACCACAGACAGAACCACGCAACCAGGAGGTGGTGCACACGCCGATGCACACATCTGTCCAAGCATCACGTCACACATCTCTCACACACAATTATCCATCAGTTATACCCAAATCAAGCTGGGAAAGGAATACACACGAAACTAGAAACGTGAGAAACCCGCCGTTCTGGGTCCTGTTGTGGTGTTAGACATGCCAAACTCCTACTCGGCTGGCCGCTCTGAGTGCTGGACCTGTTACTTACAAGTCGAGCTGGGAGAGTGTGCCCAGGAGGATGGCCATCCCCTCTGGGGGCTGATTTCTTGTTCCCCCCGCCGTCTCTCTCGTCTCTCATCACACATGCCCTACGCCTCCTGGCCAGTGCTCTCTGCTCTCTGCAGCCCCAGCCTGTGTGCCGGGCCCGCCAAGGAAAACCAGGTGTAGAAGGCGGCACGACGGCTACAGTGACCCGGACCCAGGCAGTGGCGCTGAGAAGAGCAGTGCCGAATCTCAGATGTGGGTCCTTGGTCGATGCGAGGGGGAGGAGACACACAGTCGGCCAGTGCAGGGGACTCAGTGGGCTGGCACCGTGGGGGAGTCCAGGCTCTGCCCCATGTGCACCCTGACTGTGCTCCGCTGTGGGGTGCAGAGCCCAGCTGCTCTGCCCTGTACGCCCCGCGGAACCCTGTGAGGAGCGTCCGTGCACTGACCTGGTACTGCTGCGAGCTCTGGATGAAGTTCACCGGGGGCTCGCTCTGCTTGCTCTTCAGCCTCAGGATGTTATCCGCGTACCCCCAGCTCAGGATGGCCGACCACTGGATGTCGGTGCTGTTCATGCTCCTCACGCCTCGAGGGGAAGGAGAACGCAGTTCCAGGTTAGTCTGTGACAGCCCCAACAGGCACGAGACGCGGACGTGTACACGGGAGGACATGGCATCTGGTCAAAATCAGTTTTACGCACCTGAGCTAAAACTTCCGTCAGCTTACTCCTTCAAGGCTAAGACAATCCTCAGGGAACTGTACTCTTTATTGTCTAGTTTTGGCTGGGACTTATTTGACTTAGAACTGAAATCTCTGTTAAGTCAAGCTTTGGCTACTCACATTCTGAGAAACTTTGCTTTAAAAAAATATGAAATGTTTGTAGAAAAATGTAAAAATAATAAAAATAAAATATATGTAAAAAGCATGCAAAATAATTTAAAATAATAAAAATTAAGAAATAAAAAAAATACATTAGGGTCAGCAAATGGCGTGGTGGCTAAGGTGCTGGACGCCCACATGGCTTACTGTGGTTCGAGTCCTGGACTTGGCGGCTTGCTTTCTCACTTTCTCTCTGGTGAGCACAAGTGCATCACAGCAAATTAAAAATAAATAAAGTTTAAAAAAAGTTAACTAAATATTGTTTACATAACTTTCTAGCTGTCCAGGGCTGTGTAATCCGGAAGGACGGGTAGAATCCTGGGAAGCTGCAGGGGTGGAGATGACAGCTCTGTGAGGGGCACTTCGATGTGCCCACCGTGGAAGGCGTGGCCAGGTCAGCTGTCAGGAGGCCCTGTCCTGTCTCCTGCATGACGGGCATCATGTCCTCCTGGCACAAGTTCAGAGACGCTGACCCACACCTAGCACTGCCTGCTCCATGCTGTCAGTGCATTCATGGGCTTGTCTGTGCCTCCCCTCGCGGAACACCCAGGGCACAGATGAGTATGACAGATAAGCGCTTCGTGAACGAAAAGACACACTGGAAGCGGGATCCGCAGATCTCCTTCTGTTGAGTATAATACCAAATGTTGACGGTGGTTTTGCAATAAGGCATCAGATAGCCTCGGACTGCACCAGCTCTGCAGCGGCGGCTGCGAGGGGAGGGGGCCTGGAGAATGCGAGGTCGACCAGAAAGCCTGGACACAGCTGCTGCTCAACACAGCACGCCTTCACTCCAGGGTTACAAGAGGCACGAGTTTTTCTTCTTTCATTTAGGAAAAGAAACCCCCCTTTACTGACTAGGGCAGTGGGCCTTAAACGGGAATGGAGTGACCTGGTTCCTAGCACGTGAGGCCTGGACTCGAGGCCGAGACGCCGGTGTGCCGTGTCCCCAGGGCCCCAGGCAGCGTGCTCTGCGAACAGCACGGGCGGAGCTGGGAGGCTGGCTGCGCACCTGAGCACAGCACACTGTGGTGACGGAAATTGGCCAGGGCTGCCCGGGAACTCCTGGCCACGTGCTGCTGTCAGGCAAACTGCAGGAGAGCCGAGAGCACAGACAGGGGCCCCAGCCACTGGTTTCGGTGCCCGAGGGCCGTTCCAAGCAGGAGGGAGAGTTCCACACCCAGTGGAATGGCTGAAGTGGCACGGCTCAGGGTTCTGGCAACGGCGAGGCCACTGGTCCTGGTCTGCTTTAGCAGGGCAGCGTGACCCAGAGGACTGCTCTTCAGGCAGATTTGCCATGAGTCCTCTTGCCAAGGCTACGCGGACTCCTGCTTTGTCTGGACCCACAGCTGTATCTTCCGAGGTGCTGACTGGACTCGCTGTTCTGGGATTCGCAAGCCTCCAGGGTACACTTGAGACTGAGGAAGCTGCTGCCCTGGCGGGCGTATCATTTGTCTCCTTCCAGTGCTCCTCTCACAGCTAGAGACACAGGCCACATCCTACTCCCGCTTTCCTAGTGCTCGAGGCCTTAATTCCCACTTGCACTAAAGCACCACGACTCCGAACAGTTGTCCGCCTGGACCCAGAGAACCCGGGAGGTAAAGCAAGCTAGCGCGGACGGGCTGGAGACACTGGCCCTCCGCCCTCACTCACCTTGCTCCTTGCTGTACGTCATCAGCAGGCAGAAGTTCCGGGACAGGCCACAGATGGCCCTGGTGGGCAGGGCCTGCAGAGAGCCAAAGCTCTCCCCGTGGGGCTGGCTGAAGCACACCACAGGGACCGGGGCGCTGGGGGAGCCGACGTACCCCCCCCACTTCAAGCCTTTTATCCACGACAGAGGGCTCTAGACCAAGGAAAGAAGAACGCAGGCTTTAAAAAGGCAGCAAATGCCCAACAACCTACAACTCAAATCCCAAGCAAAGTAAGAGCAGGTCCTCTGAGAAGAAGCCCTTCTGCTCGCGGGAGAGTACCGCGCTCGGCACGCCCCAAAGCCAGCACATAAGTGTGTGTTCGCCCAGGGCCAGCACACGTGAGTGTGCGTTCTCTATTTGACGTTTGTGCTCTGGCTCTGGCCTAACTTGCCTGGAAATGCCTGGTTAGTCCTAATTCAAACCCCTGAGGCCAAGCTGTGATGGCGCAGGCAGTAGGGTGCTACTCTGGTACTGGAGGTCATATGGGTTCAAGTCCTGGGCCTGCCGACACCGACAGAGGACAGTGGGCAGCCAACACATGGGACCTCCTCTGTGCGTGGCTGAAGGTCAGGCCCACCCTGTGACCCTGTGTGGGGTACAGGGCTGTGGGAAGGATTACAGTGAAGACCTTTTCAAGGGTACCTGTCTGCCTGCCTGCTTGCCTCATCAAGGAAATAAACTTAAAAAGAGCTGCCTTGACATTTGAGTAGAGAAAAAAATTCAAGTAGTCTTTTCAGCCTAGCTGCAGTAGCTACGCTGGGCAGACACCCTTGGGAGGGCTGCGGTCGGCAGCAGGCCAAGGCATGTGCACTGTGGCAGTGAGCAGCTGGGGCTCCTAGATGGCACAGCCAGACCCACTATGCCCGGGTGTGGTTGGCGTCTGGTGGACGTCTGCTGGACGGACGGGCAGTGCCGACTCTGCGGAGCGCGCTGACGGGCTCAGACATGTGATGGTCTAGAAAGCCCGGGAAGAAGAGTGGTCAGTGAAGAGCAAGAACAGGTGCCCTGGTAACAGGCCCGCGTCCTCCGAGGACGGCCAGCGAGCGCTTGGGGCCTTCCACAGAAATGGGACCGCGCCCTCTAACCCTGGGAAAAGCGGCATTGGGAAGGCAGAAGCCACGTCCTTTTAAACGCTTTCTCCCAACAGCTTTTTGTTCTCTTTTGACTGTTTTAATCGCTATCGATCTCTTTAATAGATTTTCTCCCTTTAGACATCTAACAATTATCGTATTTTCAATTTCTAAGAGGAAATGTCATATAAATCTGATAAAATTAATATACGAAGCAATTTTGTTATTCACATAAAAAAGGAATGGTTTTCATGTGATGATGTCATTTTCCAAGTGAATGAGGACAGACATGGTTGACCTACACGATTTCTTAGAGAAAAGCGTGCCCCTTTAGGGCTCTGATAACTCCATCGGGTGGTTCAGGAACCCTAAGCCACCGTTGGAAGTGCTTCCACAGTGACCTGGGAACAGGAGTCTCTCTGGACGTGCTGGAGGACACTCAGGCGGAACGGAGCTGTCCGGAGCAAACACCTGTAAGCAAGTTTGTTCTGAAAGCGCCACTCTGTCAACAGTGACATTGAGAAAATTCTGTGCCAGGTCCTCGCCATAGGGCTCCTGTTCTAGGCGCTGCAGAGTTTCAGTTACACACAAGGCTTCCGGCCCTGGTCTCCACTGCGCTGTGCTGAGGGGAGAGGGGCACTGACAGCTTTGACCTAGAAGGGTGGCCGGGCTGGGCGTCGGGCTTGTGTTCACACGTGTGCAGATGCCAAGTGACAGCACAGGCAGCAGTCCTGTGGGGAGCCTCGGGGCACTTCGAACAAAGCAAAGTAGTGGCATAAATGTCACCAGTGTGTTTACACACCACCCAGAGGCGGAGCGAGCCAGACATGGAAGGCCCTGTCCCTGAGAAGTTGTGTTTAAGAGGACAAGAGTGTACTGCAGGTGAGGCCTAAGTGCCCTGTCCTGGGAGCAGGACATGCAGTGATGAGCAAGACAAAGTCCTTGTCCCCACGGAGTGACATCTTAGTTGGAGCAAGGGGACAATCAGCTACGTATGCAGTTTGTCGGGCAGTGAAAGCGCCATGAGGCAGAGGGCTGAGTGGGACGAGCTGCTGTGTGAGGGGCACCAGGTGTCCGACATGGACACAGCCACAGCGGTGCATGGGGCTGAGGGGACACTAGGTGGGAAGGGGTCTACGCAGAGCTCTGATGAGGTCGGAGTCCCAGAAAGAGGGTCGGTCTGTGTGGGGCTGGTGGTGGGCGTGATGGCTGGCTGTCCCACCACCGCGGCCTCGCAGCCAAGGCCCTTTGCATGCCGCGGTGACCGAGAGGGGGAGAGAGTGAACGGCGCCGACTCCTGCTCAGGGCATCCCGCCAAATTACTCTGACATGGAGTGGCCCTGGAGCTGGGCAAGGCCAGAAGGGCTCAGGAGGCTTCAAAGCACAGGACAGCACACTTGTCTACTGGGAGACACAGCTCTGGGCCTGGTTCCGGCAAAGCAACACTGTCCATCACATTCATGTCCCAGACCTGAGTTTTGCTGGTTGGACAAGTTTTGTCTTTGACACGCACTGACATCCGTATGCTATGAGTGCAGACTTCACATGTGGCGTTCTGACACAAAGTGGCGTCATGATGGGAAAATCTGAAGCCTGGGACACCTTTTCCCAGACACTCACAGGCCCTGCCATTAACATCCAGGGCTCCTCCCGAACCTTCTCCTGTCCTTCGCATTCTCTGGGATTACTTTCAGGGCTTGCTTACTTTATTTTTTTATTCTGAAGCAAAACTTAAATCTACTTCCCATCTTTGGAGGCAGTAAGACCCCACTCCCACTGCCCTCTGTCCAGACAGTCCCTCCCCTGTCTGCGCACTCTCTGACGTCACCGCCCTGGGAGGCCCGCCCTCAGTAACGCTTCCCCCTTTACTGTCTGCTACGATGGACTCCCTTTCCTCTGTGCTCCCGAAGTGGGCAGCGCCCTGACTCAGACTGCCCACAGCAGTCTGCTGCTGCATCTGCCCTGTCTGCCCGCCCTCTGCACTGCCCACGTGCTGGTAGGCAGGGCCATGCTACTCCGTCCATGCCCGGGAGCTGGAGAGGCCTGCCGTTGTTGGCGCACGGCCAGGCTGTGCTGGATTCTGCTGAAGCCCTGACATACCGGGTAGGTAACTTCCTTGACCTGTTCTCGGCTCTCCCTGAAGGCGAACTGCACCAGCAAGCCCACGGCAGCCGGGAGCTCTCCCTCAAGGCTCAGCTTGGCTCCAGGTCTGCTGGCATGGGCTGTGTGGAACAGCTGGCGGGGCGTCTGCCCATAGGTCTTGATCATTGTCTCCAGCGCTCGTCTCTGAACTGGATCTTCAACTGCGGAGACATCCATTCCGAAGTAGGTCTGCAGAGTGAGAGGTTCAAGAATAAGGAGTGCTGAGCAGGGAGACCCAGCCATGACTCCACGGGCAGACAGCAGTCTGTCTCACTCTCTGTGCACTGGTGTTTCAGACAGACACGACCCTTAAATGTGACTGTCCACCGCTATGTAAGAGCAATCCATCTAATGCTATAAAGCTTATTTATTTATTTTTAGATTTTTGCCATAGGCTGTATGCACTCACCAGAGAGACAGAGAGAAAGAGAGTGAGAAGTCACCTGCTTAGAGAGGGTGACCATGCTGCAATCCCTTCTTTTCCATTCTCCTGTCGGACTTTTCACATGCACCAAACACACTTGGTGTGATGATTTTCTAGCTGCTGGATCTGAGACTTGAATTGCAGGGAGGGTCGGCCAAGTAAGATTCAGCCACCTTAACCTTCATGCCATCTACTGGCCCCTAGGGATTGATCTTAAAGTAATAATGATGCACAGGGCCAGGAAATAGGAAAATAAGAGCCAGGAGGTGGTGCTGGTGAAGGCGGCTAGATTCCTGGTTAGTCCTGGACCTGGCAGCTTGAAAATTACCCTGGGCACACATGCATGTGTACCCAAAATTTCAAGAGGAGAATGGAGGAAAAGGGACTGCAGGGTGGCCACCCCTCTGGGTGTGTGATTTCTCACTTCCCCTCTCTCTGGCAAGTGCACGTGCCCTATGGTAAAGCCTAAAAGAAAAAAAGAAAAGAAAAGAAAGAAAAGAAAAGAAATGCTGTTGTACATAAAGAATTTTGAGGAATATTTATTTTAATAGCAAACAGATCTTAATTAAATATCCGGGAGTGGGAGAGTGGTAGAATAAGCAGGGCGCAGCCGCGCAGCCGCACAGCCGCACTCGGGATGGTGAGTGGCTAAAGAAGTCACACCCAACATCACGAATCAACGAGGGCTCTGCTGCTCGGAGGACAGGCTACCGGAAGTGTGAACGCAGTAGCTACATTGAAGGAACGACATACACAGCTAGAGAGAGCTCTGGAAGGCGGGTCTGGCATTATCTCTGGACGGCGATGTCTGATCTCCAGACTCCTCCTCTGGCAGTCTGCACCTTACAGTCCTGACATGGCACAAGTACTTTCTCTGCTATGAGCAGTGACGACACTGTCAGGCCAAGTGTAACACAGGCCGGCATGCGGAAAGGGGTTTCCACACAGCCTGACTGCTGTCCTGGGAAGTCCCCGCAAAGGACCCTTGGCTGGCACCTGGGAACATGGCTGTCTGCAGGCACCCCACTCTCTGCTTCGACCGTGTGTCAGGCAGGGGTGCGTGCTGAGCTCTGCCCTCCCTCGGACGTGTGAGGCAGAGGTGCTGACGGCCAGCCCTCGCAGACCTGGGTACTGAGTCTCTAGTGCACCCCCTGCAGCCGGCACCCCACATGCGTCCCAGCCCCGTGGGGCTGGAGGGAGAGAGCCCTCACCCCAGGCTTCACTGAGTGGAGCCCCGGGGAGCTCCAGCCTGGGGCTGGCTCCCGTCTTCTCCTCGTGACTGATGCTGCCTCATGTCCTCCAGGAGGGACACCCGAGCTGCAGGAAGAGCTGCTGCGCCAGCCCCGCACCCACCACGCGAATCACTGGACCCCGGGGGGTCTGGGGAGGCCTGACACGGACTGTGTCGCAAGTGTTCTAAAGAGATGAAACAGAAAACCTGGAAACACTCGGGTAACAGTGTAGTGTCCGCCGGTTCTCGCTGGTCATAACCTTTCAGAGGAGCGGCCTGATGGCTAACCCCAGCTCGGGTTCTACGTGCCGGAAATGCAGGCTATCCCGTCACTTACAGCAGGGTGGAAAACGTTGATGGCCTGGATAGATGCCTTCCCCTTCTGCTTGTACCCGAACACCAGGTCAATCCACTGACAGATGTTCTGGGACACGTAGTCGGACTCCAGGGCCTGCCGGTGGATGAGGATGAAGAGGCGGGGGTCGTTACGTGCCCAGGGCGGGAGGTTGACGTGATTGACCCTTTCGCCATTCTGACGCACACCGAAGTCGAAGCCTGGAAGAGAAGACGGGCATTCACGGTGCACTCCCCCAGAGCGGGCTCCCTCAGCCCCCAGGGCGGGTGGGTGTGGGCAGCAAGGCTGGCTGCCCCGGGAAGGCTCGGCTTTCTCACAGGAAGTCCAGTGCTCAGCCCTCGGTGCCCTACCCAGCTACAGCCCCTGCCAAATTAAGTCTGAGGCTCCCACTCTTCTTCTTCTTGAGAGATTTCCGCTATAGGGTGCGTGCACTTGCCAGAGAGAGAGAGAGAGAGACAGAAAGTGAGAAGTCATCCCCTGGGGGGATTGCCACATTGCAATCCCTTCTCCTCCATTCTCCTCTCAGGATCTTGGGCACGCACGCACACGCGCCTGGCATGAGTTTTAAGCCACGTGTCTGGGACTCGAACCATAGTCAACTACGTGGGAGTTTCTCGACCTAATCATCACACCACCTGCTGGTCCCACTGTCCACTCTTCTCTGCCACCACTTTATACACCAACATACTGAAGAAAAGCAAGGAGACCATTAGCCGCTAGTTCCCATACTCCCACCAAACATGTCCTCAAATGGCACAAGTGCTTAGCTATCTTAGCTGCACATATGACTGAAATCAGTAAGGCCAGGGCCAGCAGCGGTGTGGTGGCTAAAGCACTGGATTCCCGCATGGCTCACCACGGTTCGGTCCCTGGACCCAGCAGATAGCTCTCTCGCTTTCCTTTTCTCTCTCTGGTAAGTACATGTGCCCTATAACAAATTAAAAATAATGACAATAAATAGAATTAAATAGTTTAAAAAATCAAACTAAGACTTTGTATGGCATCTCTGAATTATTGGTATTAAAACTTAAAAACACTTTTAGAAGAGTTGATTAATTAATTAATTTGAATTCGACCAGAGACAGAGAGGAAGGGCAAATCAGAAAGCAAGCGGCCAGGTCTGGCCCTCAAACTGCAGTTGGCCATGTGGCAGTTGAGTGCCTTAACCACCGCACTGCCTGCCGGTCCCTAAAAACAATCTTTAAGACTACTTGGATTTGGTAAATATGAGCATTCCATAGTTGAAAGAATTGAACTGATACGAAGATGCACATTCCGAGGATGAAGCTGCCTGTTAACTCCGTCTGAGTCCACTGTCAGCCCTGGCTTCCGTCTAGCCGTTGTCCCAGACAACAGCTTGGTCCCCACAGATCAAGTAAGAGGCTTCTCCAGTGACAGAGACGACCTAGGATCTGACGGGTTAGTCGGCCAGCTCACGTCAAACCCTCCAAAGTGTTTCTTTTAAAAAACTGTCTTCAAGAAATGCTACCTTTGAGTAGAATTCTCATGCTACATTTTATGGCCCACTGAGCACTAGCGGAGTAAACTCAAAAGGGCCTCTTAAGGTAGACTCAGCTCCGCACACTGGGCTGCTCGGACAGTCAGGATGCATCTTCTGTCCTGTGCAAAAATGCGCCCTGACTTTTCTGACCTCCCAATAAAATTAAGTTGCTGTTTGTCTACTTCTTGATCTTTTGAAAGCAGAAGATCTTCACTGACTCTGGAGTATTTGGAAATGACACAAAATGTAAGTCACAGACTTAGACAGTATCCCGATGGGGCAGGGTGGGACATCTCAAAGGTCCCAGCAGACGCCGCACAGACCAGCCCAGCGCTGAGCGAGGCTGGATAGACGGTCAGCCTGGGCACCTGCGAACCCTGCAGCGCCTCTTCAGAGACCGGCTTGCTCAGTCGGCCCAGCGCATGAGCCATCTAAGAGCTGGACTAGGAGGTGCTGGCCAGCAGCGCCGCTACACGCTCAGTCACCCCCAACGTTCTGGTGCCCTGGACACTTCCCTGGGAGGCCACTCCAGTGGAGCAGACAATGGAAGTACCGTGAGAGGGTTGGAGGGATGTGTCCTTGATAGGACACGACACGGCGTGTCACCAAGTGGCCACAGGAGCTGCCTCTCTGGCTTGCTTTTCCAGAGCTTGCCCCTCCCTGATCAAGAGGCAAAGGCTGGAAAAAAAAAAAAGAGGCAAAGGCTATCTTCCGTTCTTGAACTGGGCAGGCTTTGTGACCGCCACAGTCAACAGAGTGCAATGGAGATGACGCTGTGAATTTACACGAAATTATATAAATAATCCACCACAGCTAGTCTGGGAAGACCAGGCAGCTTCTGCAGGCCTCTTGGGACCTTCGTCTTTGGAGCCCTGAGCAGCCATGTGGGACATGAGGAGCTGCCATGCTGTTAGGAAGCCCAACTAGCTATCTGGACAGACCACGTAGGACAGCACTGGCACTACATGGAGGACAGAGATGTCCACGGCGACCTGCCACCCCACCCCTGCCTGCTCCGGCTTCAGACAATCTGGACGCAGCTGCCAACGTGACCCCGAGCCAAAACCTTGTCTGATCTGTTCCTGAATTTCTGACTTGCAAAAACGGACAGATAATACATTTATTGTTGCTTAGCCACTAAATGTGGGGGTTGTTATTCACCCATGAGATGTTCAGTCCATGTGGAAAGCCACGGGTAGGTGCTCACACAGGGCAACCAACAAGACATGCCACAGGGTTGCTAGCAATGGAGACTTACTGACGTTCTCTACGGCACCTCAGAGAGGCCGGTCAGGACAGGACCGAGTTCTAAAGTATCCTGTCCAATACTAACCTCCCTGAAGATGCACTTCTCCAAAGCAGGAAAATGAGCCAAGGACACCCTTAGAGGGTGACTGATCTTTCATTTCAGAGCAGCCACGGTGGCCGAGGCTGTTGGTCGGGAGCACCCTCTCTTACTCCTTTCGGTGACTGGATTATTCTAGTCAGAGTGTTTTACTCCTATCCTGCCATTCCTCATGAAATAACTGACATTTTGGTTAATTTACATTTTGCTTTCAATAGTCATGACTCTTAGTTTTCTTATAATGAACATATTGTCAACTTTATAATCCTAAAAGGAATAACACAATTTCTGTAAAAAAAAGAGAAATACATGTTTACAGATAACTTTAATATTAAAAGTTACAGTCTCCCAAATATATTTAGTCCTATAAAGTATGTAAAATCCTCAAGCTTGCTTGGGAACAAAACTCTCTACTTACTAAATAAAGGAATTTTTCTTAATTGGGGACTCAAGTTCTATGACTTAGACGAGCATGTATTTCTTTGTTTAATTTTGCCAGAGGGTGCATGTGCCCGTGCTCACTGGAGAGAGGCCCACAGACAGGGGAAGTGGAAAAGTACCCCCTGGGGAATGGTAATGCTGCAGTCCTGTCTTCATCTCTCCCTCCTGAGGAGCACACGGTTCTGCAGGTGCTCAGGCAGCCCATCCTAAATCCCCTTGGGGCCAGCATGTTCAGGATCTGGGGCATGCTCGCGCACGCACACGCCCTGCCTGTTTCTCAAGGTGCCAGGGCTGGGACTCACGCTGTACAGCTGGCCATGTGGGATCCGCTGGCATAACCACAAGGCCATGGGCTGGCCCTACAGGGGCTACTTTTATCTTTGAAACATCATCAAATGACAGGCTTTCACAAACGTATGCTAGAAACGATTTACTGCTGTACCTTCGCGGTTGACCAAGAACTCCGGAAGATAGAAAAACTCCGGGATGAGCTCCTTCACGTCGGTCATGGACTCGAAAGACGAGAGCCGCCAGGTGGTGTTGGTGGAATGAAAAGTTCTGTCCGGAATGTCAAAACTTTGATCTACAAGGTGATATAAAAAATAAAATTAAGACACAAGATCTAATTCCCTTTGAGGCCTGTCATAATCAATTTTGCTGTTTCAAAAAGATATTTTGTTTAGCAATAATATTCTGCAAAATATGTATTTCTATAAATAATAGAATCATATGATATTATTTTTCATTTTTATTATGCTTTCATAATACATGCAAACAGATAAACTTAACTCATTTTTTTGGGGGGAGAGGTTTTTGCTATAGGGCGCATGTACTTGCCAGAAGGACAGAGACAGAGAGACAGAATGAGAGAAATCACCCCCCTAGGGGGGATGGTCATGCCGCAATCCCTTCTCCTCCATTCTCCTCTCAGGATCTTGGGTGGGCATGCACACACAAGCGCCCAGCGTGAGTTTAAGCCACTGGGTC